ACGGCCCCGCGGACCCCCCCCCCGCCCCGACCCCCCACCCCAGCAGGAGTTGACCGTCTGCCAGGCGACAACCCAGAAACCAACCAACCACTACAGCCAAGTTCAGAGGACAGCGGTGGTCCACACAGAGCAGGGACGGAGCGTCTCACTCTCCTCCCCCCTTTGTGTCCACTACTCCATTACCAACATACAGTTACTTTTCTATATACTCTGTTTACTGGAGTATGATCCGGAGAGATTCATCCTGACGTGGGAACACAGTCACATGACAATGTTCAGGATGACAATTCAAATTCTCCCTCCCTGGTAGAAAGAGCTTCAAAGGACCGACAGACTCTTTTTGTCCTCCGTCCTCCACAGTCTTGTCCCATGTTTTACACCTTTTTTGTTCTTTTTTTTTTTTTACTCATGTCTGTTTATCTTATTATTGTGTTTCTGTTCATCCGTGTGTGAAAATGATTGGATTTTCAGTAAGATCAAGGTCTCAGTCTCTGAGGACCAACAGTCCTGGCCCCTGAATGTAGAGACATCATTTTTGGGGCCATAAGATGTGGTCTGTGGTCACTTCCAGGACAAGTCTTTCAGCTTCAAACATTATTCCCAAAAGAAATGAAAAGACAAATTGGTGAAACGATCGTCTCCTCACTCAGATAGTGTTAGTTTTCCTTTTTTTTTTCCGAACTCTGCTGGGCCGAGGAATCTAGAACATTTAGTTTTGGTCACGTCTACTACTAATCACAGACGCAGTTACACTAACATTTCTCGGTGACTCAGGAAAGAAATAACAACAATGAACCACGCTTGAAACAGTATAAAACAAACAACAAACATCTGGGTTTTGTTTTTTGTGTCTCCACCTCTTTATCCATTGTGGTATTTTTTTATATATATAAATATATATATATCAAATGTATGTTTTTGATGTACGAGGTATTCAGTCCTGTTAGATTTGTATTGCCTTGTTCAATGTTCTCATTATTCTAGTCTTATATAAGCAACCACGCCCTCTCTTCCTTATAGTTTGTTCTTTTCTGGGTTGTTTCTGTGCTCTAATGGATTCCAGCTGTGGCTCAGCAGCAGCAGCAGCAGCAGCAGCAGCAGCAGCAGCCACTTCCATCCCTTTGGCTCCACGAATCGGCTGCTAGCAGGTTGTTTGGTTTTATGTGTATTTGTATTTGTTTCTTGTACAAGGTGAACATATATTACACAGTGCAGCTGGAAACAATGAATAAAACGTGCTGTTCTGATTATCGCTGGTCTCCTCGGACCCTTTCCTGTCCCTGGACACGGCTGCCCAAGTACAGTAGCAGAAACGTTCCGGTTCCATCTGCCACTGAACTTTAAACGTGTATAATGTGAATGTTTCTACTACAATTATTATACTTCAAGTCCAATCACCACAGTGTGAAAGCGTTAACTTGACTGTCAAGTTCATGCTGCTGGGTGAAACTAGTCCAGCTACTAAGTTAGAACTTTATAAAATCCCTTTGGGAAATCAAGGCTCCAGCAGCAGAACAGCACCATTATATGTTACTAAATATGATTCCTTTTTGTTAATTGTAAACCCGCGTGCATCCACCCCCCCACTCAAGCCATAAACAATAGAAATGAGAGGAAACGTCACTTGAACATTCAAAAAAGGTTTTCTTTTTTTTTCTTTTTTTTCTTATTTTACCTTTTCTTTGAGTTACACTCCATACTGTGAAGTCAGGCCTAAATCCACAAACCGTCAGTCACGACTGCAACTATTGCATAAATATAAAGCAACATACAGGTGATGCTCAAAATTCGAATAGAACACGAAAGAGGTTACAGTTACGCAATGAACAACAGAAAGGAACTGCAAACGTTCACAGCAAAAAACAGAAGGTTCAACAAGTCTTGCTTTTTAACTTTTTCTTTTTTTTTCTGTCAGCTTTGGTTTTATATGTTGCAGTCTTTCTCGACCATGAACATGAAGGAGGAATTAGGTGACGTGTACCATGAGGAGGGAAACAAACAGACGAAAACAACTGGAAAGACTGCAGGTTTATGTAGACGTGGAACGTATCTCACTGTTACACCCCCCACCTCCCCTCCCCTCCCCCAGCCCGTCGTCGAAAAACTCGACAAAAAAAAGAGCACCAAGTTTTAGGCTTCCAAATGAGGTACTAAATCGCACACACGACGACAGGTTGGATCTTTTCACACAGCAACGGTGTTTCTGTGAACACGACTTCATCACAATTGAAAAAAAAAAAAATTAACAAAAGAAGAGAGGAAAAAACGAATAATAATATACAAGAAAAAGCTCTTATTAGCTCAACAATAAATAGGTAGAGTGAGTTCAGAGGAGAAACCAAAAACAAACGACACACAAATACTTCGCTCAGTCAAAAAAAAAGAGAAGTAAACCAAAGATCCAACATGAATGTCCGTGTGGTAAACCTTAGTGAGATTTGAAAAAAAAAAAAATTTGACAACTCTCCCTTTTCCAAGAGCTCCACACAACGACCTCAATTCAAGCAATGGCTGTGTATTTATATAGAAATGTTTTTTTTGTGTTTTTTTTTTAACTTAAACTTTATTTTGTTTTTCATTTATGTGCAGTGCTTAGTAATAAGGATTAAAGTCATTGCAGTTACATAAATCTCTTCTGTTAAGATAATGATATTGGCTCTGTCCCTGCCCCTTCAAAAACCCAAATACCCCCAAAAAACAAAAAAATAAAATAAAAAAGTTAAACCAGCCAACTATTACACAACTTGAAAAGAACAACAGTAATTTGGAAGTGTGCTTTTGTCAGTGCCCATACTGAATGGATATAAAGTCTTGATTTGAGTCAGTGCTGGTATATTTCCTTATACTCTTATTTTAAACGACCACATGCATTTACATCTATAGATAAAGATTCCTTTTTTCCTTTACATTTTCCTTACATTACCTAAAGGTCATTTGCATTTGTAAACCTGTAGTTTCTCCCTACGTCTGTGTGTTGCAGCAGTGGAGTTTGTCAGTCTCACGTGTAGTGACAGGGTTTGTGTCCAAATGTCTTCTAGTGTCTCCTGCGGTGGATCTGGATCTGGACCTGTGGTTTCCTGTCCTTTCCTGAAGGCCCTCACAGCTTGTCCACGTCAGGGAGGGAAAATATAACATTCCCTGTCGGAGGGATGGCGATTCCTGCACCCCCCCCTCGTCCTCTGTTTCAGTTTGTTCACTCGTCCTCATCATCCTCCTCCTCTTCGCCGTCGGACAGGGAGGCGCAGGGCCTGATCTGTCTGTAACCGTCCAGCCACTTCTCCACCATCTGGGTGACCAGTGGGTGGTTCCGACGGCGGGAGCTTTTCTGGAGGGCCACCAGGACTCCACCCTCGGTCACACAGCAGTCCAACCACTCCCGCAGCAGCTTCTCTTGTTGTTCTTCATTTCCCATCTGGAAACAAGGAAAACCATTAGAGGGCGCCACCCCACATCACAGTTAAATGTATACATTTTTTCTATAGCATAAATCCTATATAAGAAATTAGTGTTGGCATCTCAGAAATCCAGTCATGGGCCAGATAGTAGTTCAGCGGGCCGGATTCTATCCACGAGCCAACAGTTGATGATCACCGACACAGACACCAGCTGCAGGTAACAATTTAACTGGGCAGTGAGTGAGGAACTCACTTCCTGCGCTGAGAGGAAGTGAATGTGAAGCAGTTTCCTATCGCTGTCGACCAGCGGCAGAAACGTAACGGTCACATCGTCGTCCGTGTTGAGGTTGGCGCCCGCGCCGCGATTGTCAAAGCCGTCGTTCTCCATGGCGACGAGTGCTGAGAAGTGGCCCCGGGTGTAGCCCAGAGCGATGGGGCTCTTCCAGCAGAAACTCTGCTCCCACAACAGAGGCAAGTACACACCTAAAAATACCGTGAGAGAGAGCGAGACAGAGAGAGAGAGAGAGAGAGAGAGTACTACTGTTTACACACTGAGGAGTTCCACAAATTTGAGATGGTCTCATTCTTTCAAAGAGCATAAATGGATCTGGTGCCTATCCCAACAGTCGCCAGATGAGGGCAGTGTACACCCTGTACAGATCATCAGTCCATCACAGGGCCACAGGCAAATAAAAACTTTCACACTTTTGGTAAATTTGGTGGACAATTAACCTAATCCTGAATGTTTTAGCAAAGACGAAACAGAAAGACTGATGAGTTACACCTGGAGCTCAAACTGCTGATTATTTCACTGCAAGGCAACAGCCTTAACCACTTATCCAACACGTGGACAGTCAGTCTCTGCAGTGATATTTGTTGTCAAAAGAGACATTCAACCTGGAAGGTTAAACTGCCGTCCTTCCATCTCGTGTTTGAGTTGTTCATATATCTATAACTCGTTAACTACTCGTCACCACAGTAGGGTACACACAGTACTGCGAACAGTACACACAGTATTAGTTTCACAGGAAACGTATCAGCTTTCTCTCTGCCACTGAGCTCCTCCTGTGTCTGTGACTCTCTTCTCTGTCAGTAAACACTGTGTCTCTACTGGGTCACCACTTCAACTCCACCCT